AAGCTTAATGCGTCCAGTTGATTTAGACTTAAATTTGGAGACAGCAGACCTGATGTAATGCCCTCAAAGCCACATCCTTGTATTCAAAGCATCTGTCAGGCAGAGAGTACCTAAATCCTCCTGTTGAGATGCGCAATTGGAAACAGATCTGATGCGGTTTTGATGATGGTGGGTAACCACTGAGAGGGATTGAGCAAGAGCGAAAGCACGCTAGAACGGCAGCTGTGTACGCTGGTAATGATGATGATGATGATGATGATGAGGATGGTATTTTTACGCACTGCGGTTGATCGTTACTGCCTTGCTACGAGCTTCCTGTTAGGTTTGGCAGCTCGGCTAGAAGCGGCGCTCTGAAGCAAGTGAAACCCAAAAAAAAAAAAAATCCAGTCGTCACCGCCACTGTTTTAGCAGATAGCTCTGGGCATTTGACCTTTTGCCATTTGTTGTGGAAAGGCCATTGTGTGAGGTGGTTAGTTGTGTGAAAACTGGCCAGCAATAGGTTGTGAAATGTGTAGCTTGCTAAAGGGTTGTTGGGTATTTTTAATTATTGATGATAGATGAAGGGACTTTAAAGTGAAGTAATTAACCAGATGTGTATAGTTTGCATGAATAATGGTGCGGGGTGTAAGGAGGTGTGGTAAATTGTTGTGGTATTGCTGTAAATGAAGTAAAGGTTTAATCGTGTGTTTGTTTTTCTGCACTGCAGGTACAATAAGAACGGAGTGGACCTGAACCGCAATTTTCCAGACGCTTTTGAGGAGAGTAACGAGCAGAAGAGGGAGTCTGAGGTGCGAGCGGTGATGGAGTGGCTGAAGAGTGAGACGTTTGTGCTATCTGCTAATCTGCACGGAGGAGCACTGGTGGCCAGCTATCCATACGACAACAGCAACGGAGGTCAGTTACTGCACCGCATCCCTTTAGTTTCTGTGTAGTCTTGAATGACTCTCACAATAGTCAAGTCCTAGATGCTGTGAATGTGAGGATTAACAGGACGGTTTGTGCTTTCAGGAAGCGAGCAGCAGGGTTACAGGAGCGTGAGCCCTGATGATGATGTGTTTGTCCACCTGGCGAAGACGTACTCCTACAACCACACGGAGATGTACAGAGGAAACCACTGCAGTGACCTGCAGAGCTTCAGCAGCGGCATCACCAACGGCTATCAGTGGTATCCTCTGCAGGGTAAGTGCGTGTGTACAACTACATGTTAACTTCACATTAAGTGTAACGTTACAAAGTGCCTTTGAAAAGTCTATTACTCAATGTTGAAACATTTACTTGGATGACACAGCAATACATTGACAAAGCAAGAATGTGAGCATTTAAAGTCGTTTGTGGTTTCAGGAGGAATGCAGGACTACAACTATGTGTGGGCTCAGTGTTTAGAGCTGACCCTGGAGATCTCATGCTGCAAGTTTCCT